ATTGCATTGAATCAATATCAAACTTTTTTTGACAATACATTGATATAACAATAAGGAGATGTGGTACGATTGCCAATGTACCAGCCCATATTAAACTTTTTAATATGCTTTATTGGAAACACGTGTAATAAAAAATGCAATTTGTTCTCACATATCATTAAATATATACTATGTGACGTGAAAACTTGAGTTTGTAAAAATAGTATACAAATAAGAAGACGTTGTTAAAAGAGTTCAATAGGCCTGTTTTAGTCTATCAACATATAACACGTTTAAATGCATTGCAGAATAATATCGAAGTGAACTCAAAACGGGGAAAAATATTTGTGTTGTTATTGAAATTTCAAGTTAATAATTCTCATCAGATACCTATATAACAAAGAAGAAAAATAAATAAGTGAGGGAGATGTTACTTACATGTATAAATAACACAAGTTATGTATTAAGATCATTTTGATTAAACTGCATGCACATGCACAATCTGATTGAAGTACAAATCGTGTTTGCGCTTCGCTTTCAAGGATCTGATCAGTTGACTGCTTTCTTTTACCTCCAGTTTTGTAGGCATTTTTCGGTTGCTTTTGATTTGTCGTTATGACATACACCTTTAAAAAAATTGAAGACAGACAATTCATTGGTTGACTTAATAGTTACCAAAAAAACGGAAAAAGAACGGAGTTGTCAGAGCCTTGTAAGCGAAATGTTGACACAAAATCTGTGTTTCAATCAGACTGTGTACATACATATCATACTGAATTACAAATACTTGTAGATGGTTTTGGGAAGGGAAGAGGGTGTCAGGCTACTATAAACGATTTTTATTATGTTACACTCACATCTGTAGGCTTCAAAATAAAGAACAACAACTCTTCGGTGTCTTTCATTAATGCTATATCAGTTCTTATATTTAACACACAAGAGGATATAGTTAATATATACCTTATGTAGTTTTTCGAAAGTAAACAATATTTGTTTACATCTTTTAAAGATTTATTTCCATTGTTCGTGACCCAAGAAGGTATTTTTTTTGTAGAGATCAATGTTAATAAGTCTGTCAGTGATTTGTTACTTTCGAATACATGTAAAATATATTTTTTATATGAAGACCTTGTTTCTATTTTATCTGTTTTGGTCCAGAAAAAAGGACTTATGCAAAACTGCTTTGTTTGTGTCTTCTTGCCAAAATTGGCATGTTGATGGGAATGATGCTTGTGTGTACCCTACGACTGGTAGACATATGAAATCTATGTTTCTATTCTTAATATCTAACAAATCAAATCGTTCTCATTCATTTACATCAGATGAACATAGGGCTGTGTTCTGCTCTTTGATCGGGTTTTGTCTCTTTGATGCATTCCCTGTTTCCATTCTCTTTTTTTATAGGAAAATGTAAACAAGTTCGTAGTTGAATTATTGTCATTGAAAGTTGAAGTGGAAAAATCGCGGTTCCCAAAATTGAAAAAATAAAGCGTGTTCACGTATTTAATGGATTATACCACCATTGTTTTCCCTATGAGTCTTTGTGGAATTGGTATATATAAAAAATATACAAAAAGTATCCTTTTTTCAAGTTAAAAATATATGGCATGCATAAAGATTTATCCTGTCCAGTGCTACAGTCAAAATTGCACACAAATTGTCATTGCATAGAAGAAAATAATCCTCCCCAGAAGTAAACCAAACAACTTTTCGCCCTTTTCCCTCCTGTTTACACGCTGTAGTAACCAGGTCACCTCAAGTTTCAAAATTCGTTGCTGGAACACCAAACTTAAAAGAATGATGCTTTGAAAAACCCAAGATATGTGTTTATGACTCAGAAAAAAAATTTCTGCAACGAAATGCATGGTTAATTATCTTCAACAGGTTTTTTTCAGACTCTTTTAAGGTCAAGGAACAGTAAATGGGCTATGTAATAAATGTTGGTAAAATTTTCCAAACAACTTTAGCTCCTTGAACTATTAATGAAAATCGAAAACAATAATGCGTTTATCTCATTTATTTTCTGAAATATAACTGATTGAATTCTTTGTAAATCGGGGAACATTTGTATAGAAAGCACATACATTTGTCTAAATATTTTCAAATCTCCAATTTCAAATCCATAGATTTTTCTGAATATGAAACCAGAACTTACGTACTATGTTTTAGTGGTATTACACCCAAATATAAACCATTTCTGCGTCTTAAAGTAAAAGTTAGTTTGTTTTTTGTTCAGTATACATATATACATGTTATTCAATATTTCCCTACCTTGAAGAACTTAATTTTAGGAAGGCTTCTAGTTTGCGATATGCCAATTGCTTTCCTTATCAACAATTAAACTCCAACAACCTTCCAGAACATTGGAAATGCTATTGGAAAATATCAAAGTTTACCACTTAAGAGACTCTCAAAATCTTATTGTCAGCACTGATTACTGAAATTCATTATGGAAGGCCTTTGAGAAACTGCCAAGATTAACGCAACAACAACAACAACAAAAAATTGTTATTTTGATATATAATAATTTCCTAGTATATCCTTTCTAAAACAATTAATTTCCTTGTTTACAGGTAAATAAACTCTGTTCATCATCGTCCATGTATTACAAGTTGGAAAATATCTCTCGAGGAAAATATACAACCAATGCTGCGGCAATGAGGGATATTAGTTGGATACGGAGTTCAGTACTCAGTGGAAGGTTGAAATGAGATACTGGTGTATATAGATATAATAAGACTATCTAAAAAGAAGTACGACAGAATTAACAATAAAGCGTTTAAGTCCACGTTTAAGACCATGCAGTATTTTAATTTTTTTATAACATTTTGTCATCTTAGCTTTCTCTTAAATTAGATGTGGCGTGGATTCCCTCCGATTGTAGACCTACAGGTTTGACAACCTGAATAGAAGAGAGACAGAAAAAAACGTGTCTTTATTGTACTGACACTTAAAGTCCCATTTTGAAATGACATAGTCAAAGAAGATTTTAACATTGATCATATTTTTTGATAATTTTCAAAAATAGGTATTTTTTTTTTCAGACATCAATGCAATTTTTGTAAAGATGAGGGTTCGCATTTTATAAATAGATCGGGTATTTTTATCACTGAGAAATTTGTTTAGTGTACCTTTGCTGTTATCGTCTCTTATAAATAAAGGCAACAGTAGTATACCGCTGTTCAAAACTCATAAATCGATAGAGATAAAAACAAATCCGGGTTACAAACTAAAACTGAGGGAAACGCATCAAATATAAGAGGAGACTCTGTATCAAATGGCTTTTGTATTTTATCCCATATAAGGTTTCGTTTATCATGTATATAGTGTTGCATTATATTTATATAAAAGTAAATAAAACTAGAGGCTCTAAAGAGCCTGTGTTGCTCACCTTGGTCTATGTGCATCTTCAACAAGGACACTCTCCAACATTGTAGACGAGAATAGAATTCATGACAAAAATCTCTGTTTTGTTGATCTTGTATTGCTGATCATTTATTCTGTTTAGTTTCTCTCTGTCTTCTTGAGTTTTTACTCAAAACACAAAAGAGGGCAAAAAAAATCCTCATTTAAGGGCAATCACTCCTATGAGGAGTGACAGTCTACTTACTTTATCGGCAAAATTTGACTTGTTAGTAGATCTTGCCTTCCTAATCATTTTTGTGATTTAAAGTGCCTGTTTATCTATTATAATTTTCATCATATAAGGTAAAGCGCAAAAGAATGGTAAAAATCGTCATTAAAGGGCGATAAATCTAACAAGGAGTCGTACGATTTTCTCCATCTTTATCTTAATTGTAGATCTTGTCTTGTTGATCATTTTTGCTTATTTAAGTTTCTATTTATCTATTATAATTTTTAGTAAGATATAAGGCAAAAACGCAAAAAAATGGTAAAAATCGTCATCAAAGGGCATTAACTCTAATAAGGAGTCATCTAACGATTTTGACCATGTGGACTTATTTGTAGAACTTGTCTTGCTGATTATTTTTGCAATCTAAAGTTTCGCTCTATCTATTATAGTTTTCAAAATTTGGCAAAAATGAAAAAATGGTAAAATTTGTCATTTAAGGGCAATAACTCCTATAAGAAGTCGTCTGACAGTTTTGACGTATTTGGGTAATTGGTAGAGCTCAACATCTTCAACATTTCTGCTCATGTCAGATTTTCTCTATTTATAACGGTTTTCAAAATAATAGACAAAACTTGCATTTTCCCTCTTTGTTCTACTTTAGCCATGTCGGCCATCTTGGGGTCATCGGACACATTTTTTAAACTAGATACCCCAATGATGATAGTGGTCAAGTTTGTTTAAATTTTGCCTAGTAGCTTCAGAGGAGAAGATTTTTGTAAAAGTTAACAGAAGACGACGGGCTACAACGGACGACGGACGCCAAGTGATGAGAAAAGCTCACTTGGATGGCCCTTAGGGCCAGGTGAGCTAAAAAAGGATTGAATTAAACATATCATTAAAACATTATATAAGAAGAATGTGTCCATAGTACACGGATGCCCGACTCGCACTATCATTTTCTATGTTCAGTGGACCGTGACATTGGGGTCAAAACTCTAATTTGGCATTAAAATTAGAAAAATCATATCATAGAGAACATGACTTTGTGTACTAAGTTGCAAGTTGAATGGACTTCAACTTCATCAAAAACTACCTTGACCAAAAACTTTAACCTGAAGCGATACAGACGGACGGACGGACGAACGGACGGACGAACGAACTGACGCACAGACCGAAAAAACATAATGCCCCTCTACTATCGTAGGTGGGGCATAAAATTTGTGTTATTCATCATATACAGGTTAAGTAATACCTTCCCAATAACAACAATTTTAATTGCTTTAAAAACACGAAGCCCATCTATCGTTTGACACTTGATTGGTAAACGTGAATTAGATTTTTCAAACGTTAGAGAACTGTGAATGAACCATATCGTATCTGATACTTCTCTTCTGGTAAATCGTCAAAATATTGCTTTTCCTTGTGGATAACCTATAGCTATACATACCCAAACATTCATCGAAGGTTGTCTTTATTGGATCAATCTGCTTGGACCCTATCAAACAAATCATGTGTAAGTCGCCTTTACAAAATCCATAATCTTCAATGTTTGAACTCAAAGTAAACGTAACTCTGTAAAACAGCTGGATAACTTCAGACTCTGCTATCACATCTGAAGTTATATCTTTACTCTGAATAAAAATATTGGTAAAATATTTAAGGTTAGAACGTACATGAAAAAGCGATACTATGTGTATAAAAATAAGGAGATGTGGTATGATTGCATGCGAGACAACTATCCACCAGAGTTCAAATGAAGTTGAGATAAGCGATTATATGTCACCGTACGGCCTTCAACAATGAGAAAAATCCATACAGTATAGTCGGCTATAAAATTTAAAGGACCCGACATGAAAAATGTGAAATAGTTCTAACGCGAATACTAACGGCCTCGTTTATAACAAAACAATTTACGAAAAACAAATATGATAGATATGAACCAACGACACCCACTGAACTTCAGGTCCCTGAATTGGGAAATTGGCAGGGTCAAAGCATGTTTGTGAGCGCTCTACCCTCTCCTAACCCGTAACAGTGGTGTAACAGCACAATATAAAAACAAACTGTTAAAATCAGTTGCAATTGGCTTATAAATAACATAACAGTAATAGACACAAAACACCGATATAAGAGTATTCGCAGTTACTGAAAGCTAGTTGAAAATCAATTGTATCGAATACATAAATCATGTTTCCCTGTATGCTTTTATTGTAATAGTTTTAGTTGGATGCTATTCATTCCGTAGGTAACTAAATGCACGATCTTTTTCTATAAAAATGTATGAAAAGATTCGATGAAAATTTTTTCATCACTTGTTGTCCGTCGTCTGACGTCGTCGTTGTAATCGCCCGTCGTCCGATGAATTTCACAAAAAAAAACTACATGGACAAATTTGACGAACTTTTGCCACAATCAACATTGGGGTATTTAGTTTAAAAATATGTCTGATGACCCTGCCTGCCAACTAACATGGCCGATATGGCTAAAAATAGAACATAGGGGTAAAACACAAGTTTTGTCTATTATCTCGAAAACCACTGTAAATAGAGAAAATCAAACAGAGGCATACATGTTTAATATGATGAGAACTACATACCTACAGTCTATTAATATCAAAACTGTCAGACGACTTCTTCTAGTAGTTATTGTCCTTAAATGACAATCTTTTGCATTTTTTTAAATGTTTGCCTATATCTTGATATTTATTATAGATAGACAGAAACATCATACAACAAAAATAATCAGCAAGACAAGATCTACAAATAGGTCAACATGGCCTAAATCATCAGTCGACTCGGTATTTAAACTATTGCCCTTTATGACAGTTTGATCATTTTTTTTGCACGATTGCCTATTATCTTGAAAACTATAATAGATAGGTAGAAACTTTCTAACGAAAAAGGGTCAGTAAGACAAGATCCACAGATATAAAATCAAATAATGCCAGAATCGTCAGTCAACTCCTTATTGGGAGTATTGCCTTTAAATGCTGATTTTTACCCATTTTGTGTGTTATCTCCTATTATTTTAAAACTATAATAGAGGAGAGAAAATTTAAATAGCAAAAATGATCCACAAGACAATATCAACAAATAAATCGATATTGCTGAAATCGTTGGTCAACTCTTTATAGGAGTTAATGACCTTATAGGCAATTTTTTGCGCTTTTGCTTATTTTATGGAAAAAAAAGAAAATATAAATAGAAACTTTAATAAGCAAAAAATGATTAGCCAGACAAGATCTTCAAATAAGTCAGCATAAATGATATTGTCAGTTGTCTTCTTAAAGGAGTTATTGTCCTTAAATGCGAATTTTTATTCTTTTTGTGTTTTGGACAAAAACTGTAGAAGATGGAGAGAAACTGTAAACAGAAAAATGATCAGCAATACAAGTTCAACAAAATAAGAGATTTTTGTCATGAAAGATATTCTAGTCTACAATGTTGTAGAGTATCCATAGTTGAAGATGCACACAGACCTAGGTGAGCAACACGGTCTCTTTAGAGCCTCTAGTTAAGTTTGCCAAGCAAATCTAAGTGTAATTCTCTGCAAAAACCTCATACATGGTTATATGGAAATAAAACTCGCAAGCTACATGTAAATTAGTTAATGTCTATGGTTAATTTGACCAGTATAAACACGAATTTGTTATGAATCTACATTTAAAAGTAATGATACAACTTCTAAAGTTGAAGACTGTATGCTACCCTATACATGTCTTTTGGTTTTTCTGTTGTTGAGTTGCTGTCTCAATGACGTATATCCCACATCTCCTTTTATTGATTCCAAATATTGAAACACAGTCTGATACTGCATAAAAGTGCAGACATTGTAACACTCGTCGTTTGATTCATCGAGACTCCAATTTCTCTGTATACTGCATCATGGAGAATTGGTTCGTTGAAGAAGTTTAATTAACTTACATTTGATCGAAAATGGAGAAAAGAAATATCACCAATTGATATTCTCCTATTTTTTTAAGTTGATAATATTTCGAATAAAATAGAAGAACTTAAGTAATTATTTATAGGTTTCTAATTTTTTAATGTAATTAATATTAAAATGTTTTTAAACGAAAACTATTAAACAAAGATTATAAAGCTTTAAACGAAAACTATTAAACAATATTATAAATCTAGACAACTCTCTCGTTTTATTAAATGAGGTCGACGGATCCAATGCTGAATAACTTGAATCAGGAATGCGAAAAAAGTCTCATCTCAAATTACTTCATTTTAAGAACACTTACGTGAAAAGAAATAGTGCAGTTTGGATATGGATGAACTTCTTTAAAATCAACTCGAATAGTCAAAGTTTTGTGATCGTTGATAGAATATCGACTGTCTAGTGTATTATTCATGGGATAGTCTAGAAGTTGAATACAAAATATAAAAAAAATGTACAATTAGAAAAAATAATGCTATTATGTCTTACTTTTATGAAACACACCCCATTCCGGTTTTCTCGTTAGAAATATTTTACATTTAACTATGATTTTGTCTTTTTTAGTTTACCTTACGGTATGGTTTTGCTCATTGTTGAAGGTCATACTTTGATCTATAGTTGCTTACATCTCCGTCATTTGGTCTATGGTGCGAGCCGTCTCATTCAAATTCATTAGCATACCACATTTTTTAAATTTTATACCAACTTTATAGAAAACCCCGAGCCGATTCATGCCTTATACAAAATTCGAGGTATTTTTATAGCACTACAGGTGTGTAATTTCAAAATAATTTAATGAAAATCATGTTAAAGTTTGTTTATTATTTTACTATGCATATTATTTTATCTTTATTTCAAAATGCGTTTTTATCAGGTAAATTTTTCATTTGTTATCCTTATTACAAGCAGATACGTTCGAAAAAGACTCCTAATCTCCACTTTTCGTCCCTGATAAATCATGTATTTAGACCCCGTTCACACTAGCATTTTTTATCCATCTAATTTTGAATCTAAATAAAACTAGTTATCGTTATCGTTCACATTATATTTAATTCTAACCACCTCTATCGGTCTAATCTGAACCACTGCTTTCACACTACGAGTAAAAATGCAATCGATCGGACCTAATTACTCGTGAAATGTGTATTAATAGAAATATTTAATCAGATTAATGTGTTGATACACACGCCTGCAAAATAAATAGTGGATGATGTTATTGTTTCAAGTTCAAATGTTGATACTGCCATTCGTATAGTTTTTGTTCATTTTCGGCTCTTTTATGTTGGTCATCCATATTGTAATAAATTGCACGTGTAATTTTGCCACCATACATGCGCACAAATTATTTTCGAATCAATCGTACTAGTTTAGATTGATCTCTTCGTTCACATCTAAAGTTAGTTCTGTTTACTTTCGTTTTTGGTGTTTAAGTTTAGACCGATTCAAGATCGATTCAAAGCGTTCACATTGGGCTTAAATCTATCTAGAGTGAACCGATCTAGTTTAAATCGATATAAATTTCCAAGTGTGAATGGGGACTCATTTATAGTAAACACTTAAGCGTTCAAATATTAAGATTTCTGAATGATCTAAATAAAACATATTAAAAATAATAACACGACATACTAAACATATTTAACAGTTCAAAACCAGAGTCCGATGAAAATAAAACAGATGATCAACGAACAACACATGGCCTGAATTTCGTAAATTATGTTTATCAACCCATTGATATTAAAATAAGGTATACCACAGATACAGCTAGGTCTGCTTTATAAAATCCACATCGGTGGTTAATGACCTAAATTTCACTTCATTAATATCATTTGCAAGCTTCCTTTTTACCCCATTTCCTTATTTTTATACTTTGATACGGAAAAGGTGATTACTTCACATTTTGCTTTCTATTTTTATTTTTACAAAATTCCAGCAGTACCCACCTGTTCGAAATACTTTATCTTCAGGACTTAGTTTTAGTCGGGTTGTTATTTCTCATTCTTTAGTTTTCGGGTTAGTGTTTTTACTTTTATTCATCTTTTCTTTTTTTTTTGACTTGTGATTTGGTTGCCCAACCCCCTATCCCTCATCTCTGCATCTTGTTACCGTTATACAATGAAATAAAGTAGATGTCATAATCACAAACAATTTTTAAATTTTGTGCTTACATTCATAATCATTTCCAATGTCGAGGTATTTTCTATCATTTTCAAATCCATAAGAACATCTATATGAACCTTTTAAGTCTTGCTCGCTGAAGTTTTTAATTACCAAGCCAAACCCACCAGGGCTCTCTGTAGTGTTGTATTTTGAACTTTCAGATGGAAACCCATTAAACGATAACAGTTTGAAATCAGACGCCAGATATAAATGCCATCTTTTTGTACATTCGTCACAGCTATGATTGGTTGTCTTGTTATAATTGCAAAATAGTTCAACGTCTTCGCTAAATATAACTGGCTTAGTTTTCAAAATCCAATAGACTGCTGAAAAAAAATAATAAATAAATCATTTTTATTATATATTATCATACATTTTAATACATTTCAAACTGTATGATGAATAATATTGAATAACATTTAATTACAAGACAATATAAAAGATGCAAATGTCTTTTCAGAAGGTACAATAAGACTAATAGTATGATTAATGTTACAGTATATGGACATTGAATTTATGGAAAAATCATAAAACTAAATACATTTGTTATTCATACTTCATCAACCTATTGATGTTTGTACATATTCTTTGCACCTCCGCTGCAGTCCATCGATTCATCGTTCCATTATTTTATACCCGTATAGTATTTTCTAAATAATGTATAGCTTAAGTAAAAGTAACCTACCGTGAAGACAACTCCTTTGACTATCTGGGTTAAAAACTAGAGGCTCTAAAGAGCCTGTGTCGCTAACCTTGGTCTATGTGCCTATTCAACATAGGACACTCTTCAACATTGTAGAGGAGAATAGAATTCATGACAAAAATCTCTTTTTTGTTGATATTGTATTTCTAATAATTTAGTCTGTTTAGTTTCTCTCTTTCTTCTTTAGTTTTTGCTCAAAACACCAAAGAGGTTAAATAAAATCCTCATTTAAGGGCAATCACTCCTATAAAGAAAGTATATCGGCAAAAGTTGACTTGTTAGTAGATCTTGCCTTGCTGATCATTTTTGTCATTTTTTAAAAGTGTCTACTCATCTATTATAATTTTCATCATATAAGACAAAACGCAAAAAAATTGGTAAAAATCGTCATTAAAGGGCAATAAATTCAATAAGGAGACGTCGGACGATTTCCTCTATTTTGTAGTAATTGTAGTTCTTGTGTCGCTGATCATTTTTGCTTCTTTAAGTTTCTATCTATCTATTATAAGTTTTAAGATATAAGACAAAAACAAAACAAAAAAAATGATAAAAATCGTCATCAAAGGGCAATAACTCTAATAAGAAGTCGACTGACGATTTCGACCATGAGACTTGTAGAACTTGTCTTGCTGATCATTTTTGCTATTTAAAGTTTCTCTCTATCTATTATAGTTTTCAAGATTATAGGCAAAAATAAAAAAAATATGGTAAAACTTGTCATTTAAGGACAATAACTCCTGTAAGAAGTCGCCTGGCAGTTTTGACGTATATGGACAATTGGTAGAGCTCAACCGTCTGAACATTTCTGCCCCTGTAAGATTTTCTCTATTTATAACGGTTTTCAAAACAGTAGACAACACTTGCATTTTACCACATATGTTTTATTTTTAGCCATGTCGGCCATCTTGGTTGACTGGCGGGGTCATCTTACAAATAATTTATACTACATACCCCAATGATGAGTATGGCCAAGTTTGGTTAAATTTGGTCCAGTAGTTTCAGAGGAGAAGATTTTTTTAAAAGTTAACGGACGACGACGGACGACGAACGACCGACCATGACTGATGACGGACCAGTTTAGCTAAAAATACTTTAGAAAATAATTTGGAAAAAAAAAACAGAGAATTTCTTTCAGCGCCTTTGCAAATGAAACCATATTCTACGCCAGACCCATTGTGATATTAAGTCATGTACATATAATTTCTATCATTTACTGTACATTTGAGAGGTTCTGGAAAAAAGAAGTATTACACCATTTAGTTGTTGGCTGAACGTGTTTGACATTTAAACAGCAGTCAATTTTGATAAAGTTTTTAATTCAAGGCAAAATTTAAAAACTAACGAATCACAATAAGAATTGCCTGTAGCAACAAGGTGTTTTGGTCGATCGTTAACAAATTTTTTTTAATCTCTTCTCAATATTTCTGTAGAGTTTGGTTCAGATTTGCTATGTTATGTTGAAGAAACCATTGACGCAATGTATACAAACAGATCAGCAAAAAAGGGATATTTGTTGTTAAGCCAGTAACCTGATACATTCCTTCCTCGTGCGTATCCTTTTGTTTTCAAGCATTTTATATAAGCATTTATGATTATGTTGCTCTAAAATTGTTTTAAAATTAATACCTTGACATTAATCAATAAATAATAGCATCCAAGTACAATAATTTAACCACCTTTTGAGAGGGTGTTGCTAAACGGCGGAAACGGAATACAGGACGGAAACGGAAGCGGAAAGAAATATTTATATGGAAAGAATTTGAGAATAAAATGGCGAGAACCGCGGAAATCAATAATAGACTGAAATAACGAAATCACTGAACAAGTATGTTGAAAATAGGTTAGGAGATATCAAGGAAAATAGCAAACAGTTTTGGAAATACATAACGGCTAAAAAATACTAGAGCCTATAAAGAGCATGTGTCGCTCATCTAGGTCTGTTTACATCTTCAACAATGGGAACTCCAACATTGTTGACTTGAATCTCGGGGGAGGGGGCACTTCCTATATACAAAGTGATAGGACGTGCCGCTGGAATAGGTCACATTTTCCAGTTTAAAAATATGTGAATAGGTGGGGAAAACTATCAGAAATATATGATAAGGTTAATAAAGTTCGACTGTTAACTTTCTTGGTGTTCCCGGCTGTGTTTTTATCCATAAATTTTCCTTCTTTTGACACTTTGGTATTCCACTTTTCCAACACGCCACACGAAACACAACCAATATGGGGAAAGGGTTACATTTTTACCTACGCAACATATGAAAATGTATACATTATAAAAATCTAAATTATTAAATTATATTGAAAGGATGGGGTAACAGAACCCCAGCAGCACCCCTATAAATTAAGTATTGAAGTGCCCCCCACCCTCCCCGAGACTTGAATAGATTCATAAAAAAATATCTTTTTTGTTGATCTTGATTTGTTGACCATTTTCTGTTTACAGTTTCTCACTTTCTTCTATAATTTTTACCCAAAATACAAAAGAGGGTAAAACAAGTCGTCATTTAAGAGCAATCAATCCTATAATGAGTCTACTTACTATCCACTTACAATAAAATATCAGAACAATAATAATGAACAAAAATTAAATACTAGACGTGTTCATATTTTCAGCTTCTTAATGTTTTAACATAGTTATTTTTATAAATTATATATCAAGGATTTATAAAGAAAGTTCTTTGTATATATCAATTGTAAAGAACATAGATTTTTTTTAATTTTTTGTCTAAAATTTGTCATTTGGTCAAAAAAGATTAAGCCGAAATACAATGCAAATGATTTTGGACAATTTAATTATTTCTTTTTGGTTAATTTATTTGACAAAATTTTTATCGAAATTTAAGAACTTATCGACCATTTACCAGCCGATCTGTAGCGACTTGTATAGCTGCATATGACGGACGACGGACGCCAAGTGATGAGAAAAGCTCACTTGGCCCGTTTGGCCAGGTGAGATAAGAAAGCACTTTAAAAGTTTACAACCACTAAAGACTAAGGCAGGTCTACCAGCAGAAAAAGACCACGACAGAGCAGAAGCATTGAATGAACAATTTAGTATAATTGTATCTACTAAGAAGTCATCCACTGAAAATGTACCACTAAAGAAACCATCATATCCAAAATTGAAAGACATAGAAATAACTTAAGTAGGAGCGAGAAAAAATAGAACATGGGCTCAATACATCAAAAGCATGAGGGCCAGACGAAATAAGCCCCATAATACTTAAATAAACTGCTTCGCCGAGTGCAGCTGGATACGACCGCAGAGGTCCAACCCTGATCAGTTGGGGCAAAAATGGACACAATATTCAAGCTTTATACAGGTCTGAATTTCAATTGGATTGCAGTTAAATATTTGACACATTACAGGTTTCTGACACAGAATAAATGTAGTCAAAGAATTTGAAATTGGTTATATGATTTGAATTTATATTCAATTGAAGATTTCCTGTTTTTGTGCAATACACTGTGCTGTTGCGCAATACTTAGTAAATCTGTTTTCAGACTATTTACAAAGAATTAGCAAAATAAATTGTGACCCCCGATTTTTCTTTGGCAAATTGAAAATATTTGAAATCTTGAGGAAAAAAATGAAAAAAATTTACCCCCCCCCCCCCCCCCCCCCCCCCTGCCATTTGAAGAAATTTTCTTTTTGTAAAATGTGATACAATTTAAGAGACATCAATACACTTAAACACAAGTTATTGTCTGAAAACTAGTAAAAATGCTTGTTTTAGACCCTTTTTAGCCCCTAATTCCTGAACGGTTTGGGCAATTACCCCCAAAATGAATCCCAACTTTCTACTTGCGGTATTGAACCTTGTGGTACAATTTCAGAGCAATCAAAATACGTATACACAAGTTATTGTCCTGAAACTAGAAAATGCTTGTTTTGGGCACCTTTATGGCCCCTAATTCCTAAACGGTTGGGACCATCATCCCCCAAAAAGACAATCCCAACCTTCCTTTTGTGGTTTTAATCCTTTTGCTTAATTTTCATAGCGATCCATACACTTAAACTAAAGTTTTTGTCTAGAAACCAAATATCTTCGGACGACGACGACGACGCCGCCACCGACGACGCCGACGACGCCACCACCGACGACGCTGACGACGACGCCGACGACGACGTTAAAGCAATAAACGACCCCAAAATTTTTTTGCGGTCGCATAAAAATATTTAATGAATTAGCTCCTATGATTAGTATGATCAGTGTGTAGAAATACCGCAAAAGACTTCTTGGTGCACGAAGAACAAATTTTTTTTCACGAAGGCCACTAAAACGGTGTTTTAGGACCACACACAACATGGATATAAGAAAATATAAGCATAACATAAAGTTTGGTATCAATAGATATTATGATTTTGAGGTTTAATGACTTTTCAATCAGCGCGTGCCACTCAGCACGTGACACACGACTTAGTACAAATTCAAAATCATCATGTTGAATCAACCTTATCTAATAAACAATTGTCTTAATGATCTTCACTAATTGATTAGTAAATGGTAGCTTGATGAAAGAATAATAATAACTTTTGATTAACCATGTTAACGGTGCCTTTGTTTTATTTTGTATCAAGGGAAATAGTTAAATAAACGTTTTGTTTTTTCAAGA